TATTTATTTACTTATTTACATAAATAATATGCATGCATGCTTTTACAGTAAATGCAACATTGACTCCAAATGTGACTGTTTTTTTTTTCTTTATTTTTTCCACATTAGGATTTCTTGTATTTTCACATTGCTTTCATATCTGTATCTCCTTCAGGTCGCTACTGGGCAGAAATATCAGACACTATCATTTCCGGGACGTTCAGGCAATGGAAAGAAGGAAGCACTAAAAGCGAGACTTACTATCCAGGTACTACAACCATACGTCACCAACACACAGGTCAGTCTAACAGTGCTCTCAGATCTGAGCCGTAACGCTTGCTTGTGCTTGTTCTGGCAGGAGACACTATCGTGCATGCGGTGGGAGAGGCCACGTCAGTGCAGTGGAGCGCCGGGACATGGATGGTGGAGTACGGCCGAGGATTCATTCCCTCCACGCTGGGCTTCGCTCTGGCCGACACCGTCTTCAGCACCCAGGACTTTCTAACTCTATTTTATACTGTACGTGTTTATGTGAAGGGTATGATCCTGGAGGCTAGCACTTTCCTCACTGACACCGGCGTCCTCTGAAAACCACACAACGCCACACGTCACGTCCCTTTGTTATTCCGAAAATTGATCACAACATCAGGTGTTCGTTTGCTAATGGAGAACCGACGACATGTTGAATTGTCTGTATGGAAAGCACTTAATGTAATTACTTTTCCAATGATTAAAGTTTTATTTTCCATACTGTACAAAGAGTTTATCAAATGTCTTTTCTAAAAGTGAAACATATTTGTTGGTCAACAGACTGTTTGTGGTCCAGCGTCTGTGTCTGAACATGGCAAGATGTTTTAGCACCTCAGTATTGTCCAGAAACGGTTAATACGAGGTTTAGATTAAAAATCAGAAGACATTTTCCGTATTTCCAGATCACAGTCTTTGCACCTTCAATATACTGTGAATGTTAATTGTTGATTAGTTTTCCATAAATTACAATTGCTGTTCAAAACTGATGTGTCTATGTTCAGCCAGAATAAAACCATTAATTAGTATTGTTGAATAAGTCTTATATTTAATTTATTTATTCAATTATTAATGTATTTGCTCAAGTTATTTAGAAATGAATGTATTTTGTGTTCTGTTATGTATCTGTCAAATAGTGAATGTGACAAAAAAAAAGGATTATTTTCTATAATGTACAAAGAGTTTATTTTTAGTTTTTGCTGCTTCATATTTTTGTGGAAACTGTGATACAACACCATTCAAAAGTTTCGGGTGAGTAAAAAGAGAGGAAAAAAAATGTATAGGCTACACATGTGGTCTCCAAAAAAAAAAAAAGTAAGCAAAAATATAAGGATCATATGACACTGAAGACCGGAGTAATGATGCTGAAAATGCAGCTTTGATCACAGAAATAAACAATATATTCACATAGAAAACAGTTATTTTAAATTGTAAAAATATAAAACAAGTAGATAGAATAGAAAAAATTGAAAGCTAGTGTTTGTTAGTTTTTTGTTGTTTTGTTTTAAATAAAAAATAAAACAAAAAATAAGATAAATATAGATAAAGTAGAATTAAAATAGAATAGAAAGTGCTAGAGTTAGAGGGTCAAATAAAAAAGGATTATTTTCTATAATGTACAAAGAGTTTATTTTTAGTTTTTGCTGCTTCATATTTTTGTGGAAACTGTGATACAACACCATTCAAAATTTTCGGGTGAGTAAAAAGAGAGGAAAAAAAATGTATAGGCTACACATGTGGTCTCCAAAAAAAAAAAAAGTAAGCAAAAATATAAGGATCATATGACACTGAAGACCGGAGTAATGATGCTGAAAATGCAGCTTTGATCACAGAAATAAACAATATATTCACATAGAAAACAGTTATTTTAAATTGTAAAAATATTTTAAAATATTAATAATTTTACTGGATTTTTTATCAAATATATGTAGCTTTGGTGAGAATTATTCCATAATTTTGTACATTATTTATTTATTTAGTCATTTAGCAGATGCTTTTATCCAAAGCGACTTACAAATGAGGAGAATAAAAGCAGTCAAAACGAACAAAAGAGCAACAATATATAAGTGCAAATTACCAGTCTCGGTTAGCCTAAGTTACAAATGCTGCACCCACTTTAACTTTCAAAAGAGGGTGGATATTAATAGAGCTGTGTGTGTGTGGGGGGGGGTTCATATTACCATGGATCTCTCTTTATCAAGCTATAAGGACCGCTAACAGGCCAGGGAGGCGGTGAGTGAGAAGTGAAGGTGTCGTTGTTGTTGTAGCTGTCGTGTTAAACGCCTTGATTCCACACGCCGGACAGATAAACTGCAACCTGTTGAGCTGCAAATGGCCTAAAATATTCGTATGGCATAAATGTGGTGAGATAAATGGGGTACGAATGAGGTCGAGTGGCTTTTTATCGTTTTTCGTATCATATTGTTGACACTTAGCAAGATGGCTAGTTAGTTACTAAGTACGCGAGAGTCCTGTGTTGCCATAGCAACCTGTCATGCTGTCTTTGAGCTTCCCTTAATGTAATATTTGGCGCCATCTACCGGATAATCAACCGAGATTATTTGAAAAATTAAATTCTTCCATCTGTTACAACTAAAATGTATCCGTTTTAAATAATAATTATGTAGATTCCCACAGATTCCCCACAAAATACCGTAGATGCTTCAAGTAGTGTTACCACAGGAAAGCCGTGACACATTTAGTATGTCGTTGATGTAATTTTAAATAAATGTATTGTGAATTAATTTTTTAGGATGAAGTAAGAACATAAACACGCAGGAGAAATTTGCTGGTTATGATTTATCATCATTTACTGGAGGAGGGGTGAGATCTCTTAAACATTTCTTAAAATGGCATGAACATTGAGTGACTCTAAAGAAAAGACACAAGTGAAAATACATTTAAATAATTTCGTACTTGACTACTACACACAGGTATATGGATTCAGCTAAAGCTTTAGAAAAAGAAAGCCGTTTTGCTTTATGCCATTTTGAGGCGTGTGATAATGTTAACCTGGAGACCGTTCTTATGGAATATGAGAGTTATTATTTTATAAAGTTTCAAATATATCCTAAACTAACAAAGAAACTAGCCGAACAAGGTGAGATTTTACTCTTATGTAAAACGTCATAAATAGAGAGAGTGTGTGTGTGTGAGTGTGTGTGTGTGTGTGTGTGTGT